GTCCATAACAGAAACAGTGGCTTTCGCATGAGTAACTTGGAAAATGACGTTCAGACGAGGGTAGCTGAGAAAGCGAATGGATGAGCACAGCTCTGATTACCTCTTAATACAATGTTGCCACACTTACAAGTCAATGTTTAATTGTAGAACAATATTTGTTTTCTGTCTTATCAAGAAATTTTAATACTATCATACTTCATAAATCCCTTTCTGTTTCTGCATTAGGCAGGTTTTCACCTTATCCAGTGTTCTTTGCATTGGAAAATGATCTGTCTGAGATTTTTTCCTGCAAAGCAGGTGTCTGCCTTATCGAGGTTCTGTCTTTGACAAATTTTAAAGTTTGATAGTGGTGAATCCATTGGCTTATTATTTATTCCATTATTATTTTCAGCTTTACAAGTTTTTTATTTAATATTAAATGCGTTAAGACTTTGTACCCTAGCTGTTGTCTGCCATGGATTCGCTAATAAATCTTCCTGATGAGTGTGTTTTTCATACTATTTCTTTAGTAAGGTTTTTTTAAACTTTGTATTTCCTTTGCATTTCACCAGTCATTATTTGCAGATGCTTCATATATGCTACTAATTTTGAGTTTTTTTGAGCTTGTTCTCTCTTTGTTATATTTTCTTTTTCTTTTTGTTTTCTTCTTCCTTAATTTCCCTAAAGCTTGTGATGCTGCTGCTTTCATTATGATTTAAATATTGTCCTTTCTTTTATATCATTACTAGTGATGGAATCTTCAATCTTCTGTGCTATTGTGGTTTGATACAAATATATTACGCTCACTTGCAGTAGGTGTACTTTAAAGACTTCTGCCTTTTCCTGATTTTGTCGTTGATATTCTTCCTTCTTGTTAGGATTTCTATTTTTTATTTCAGGGAGTAGTGGTACAAGATTTCGCTTCCTTTATTCGCTTGTGCATCTCTTATTGCTAGATTCTTATTCACCATGTCAATTATTGATCTCAAACGTCTTGTTGTCCATGTAAATGTATGAATATATTTCTTGTGTAAGAATATTTTTGTTATCTAAGATACAAATGCTCCAAGTTGAAGTCCATTCCTATTCAAATAACTTTCTTCTTAAGTTCCAACTAATTGCGGTATTGGTATATTACTCTGCTCTCTCATTGAAGTCGCCTGCCAATAAGATATGGTCATTTTTATTGGCATTACTGTATTATTGTTGAATAATTTCATAAAATTGTTCAGTTTGTTTGGACCTTTGTTCTTCAGGAGTAGATTTTTATACCAAATGCAGTAAATGCACCCTCTTTCAATTTTTAATTGTGCTATAAGTATTCTATCTTTAACAAAAGTGTAACTTTCAATTTTGTTTTTTTATGTATTGGAATTGCTACTCCAATTACTTCTATTTGTTTTTGCTCTATTTCATCATTCCATAATTTTTCTTTTGTTCCTTTAAGTTTCTTTTTACTTTGTTCTTACGGAGTAAAGAGAAATGTATGTAATGCTGCACGAAATAACAGCAAATTTTTTGTTTCTGAAATGATGGGTTTATTTATCCCTTTCTCTTTTAGTACACTATCTGGTTCTATTTCTCTTTTGGTTAGAGCTCTCACATTCCTAGCAAGTACATCTTTTGTTCTATTTTTTCTTTTGTATGCATTTGATTTTCATGGGAGATTTTGCTTTACGTGGAATTCGGTTACCTTTGCCCAAAGGGCCTCCTAACCTGCCCTCTCTCTTCACTAAGACCTCTTCACCATGCTGATGGATTTCTTTGCGTGGTTGTCTTCTGTAACTTCCTCCCCTGAGTCCTCTTCTTGGCAGCCAGGTTCTCTTTCGGAGTACTTCTTTAGTAAAACTGTGTTTAAAAAAAATTTGAAAATTAAAAGTTAAACTCAACTCTTTAAAATCAGAAGATCGTCTTATATTCGGTTAGATATGATATATTTGTTTCATTGAAAAATATTTTATGCTGCAAGATATTTTTTGTAATCTATTAAAAGGTTATGTGAATATGTTAGTGTTCGAATATTAACTGATTTACATTTGTATCTGTCGCATTAAAAATTGTGTGCCTGTTTTACGTAAAATGTTATTATAAGTGTGTTTTGGTATTTATACCCTTATTTAATTTTGAAACATTTACTTGTATGCTAGTAACCTTGATAGTTGAATATTTTATGGATATATTTTGTTTTCCTAAGGTTATATTATATATTTATCTATTTGAGAAGTAATAAATACTGCTATGTATGCATTCAAATATCAACTATGTTTACAGCTGAAAGTGGAAGGTAGTAGTCCCTCAAACATTGAAGACATTCCATCTGGTTCAAATGTTCATCCTCCGTTGTCTTGTGAGAAGATAGCAGTGATGGGTTTACAGTTGAGCTCTCAGACCAGAAAACCACGTGGTCCTTTGCTGGTCCCCCCTCCTCCGGTTCCATTGGCCCCTGCTTCAAATAACAGGAACCTGGTTCTCAAACCTAAATCACAAGCTGAAAGTAAAGTTGGGAAGAGAGGCCCTATGAAAGCTATGATTCCAGTGGGCAATATGATGCGTCAGGAAGCAAGGAAAGGTAATTTGTTGAAATGTACTAAACGTGAACACTTCAAATAATAATGGTATATACAGTCTTCAGCTTAAATCGCAACCCATGTCTGAGAGCACTTGTTCTTGTTTTGGCAATTTGGCAACCGCGTGTTTTTGTCACCTTTCAAGACAGTCGTGCCTCGCATGTCGAGACAGCAGAGGAGGCAAAAGAAACAAAACTAATACTGAAGGTGTAGAGGTATATATATTAATGTATATATATCTGAAGGTGTGGTGTATTACTGTAACCAACGTTACAATAATTATTATTTAATGAAAGTCAGCTCAGAGAGAAATCAGAAAGATATCTCTTGAAACAGTACTGAAACAGATCTTCACTATTTATAATAATAGTAATGTATTATTACTATAGTTATAAAACTACTATTTACTATTGTTATAATTATTATTATTGAATCTGATTATTAAGGAAATAAATAATGAAATGTTGGAATCAATTTTATTATTTTTAATAAAATTATTAAAAAAACTATAAAAAATAAGCTGTGAATTAATAATTTATAAAAAATAATAAAATATAATTTCCTTAAAATGATAAAAACCTGACCGTCGAGTAAATGCTGAAAGTGGGCGTCAATTGCCAAAAGAGAGATGTTTACTCTTTGCAGTGTAGTGGCTGCAGTACGTTGAAGACTAACAAGGACAGAATGAGTGCTTTCTCTTTCTTCCAACTAAAATTAGCTACATTCTCTCTCTCTCTGAAATCTGAGGGCACGCAGCCATGCCAAAGGTATATTGTGCATTGCCAAAAAAAAGGTGGTGTTTCCAGACATGTTAAGCTCACAACCTTGTGTATATTAATGTATGTATATCTTGACTCTTGTTCTAGAAAATGTGCCATCAAAACAAGTGATTGGGCGAGTGCCTAAGGGTGATCTTAAATTGGTAAGTTTGTGTTTGTAACTGTAATGTTGCTTCTTTCAATTATTTGTTCTTAAGAATATTATTTTCTGTGTAGATTTCTCTTATTAATTTAAAAATCATATTAAAAATATAAATTTTGTTTTCTCATTTATTCCATTTGTTTTCAAGGCGTTTAAGTCGTTGTCTTTTGGCAGTGTCAACAGTATGGTATTATGATCTGAGTTAGTCATCTGAGAATTTTACCTTTTCCATTGCATTTTCTGGGGTATATGTGTTATATTAGTTTAGATTTGCATTTTAGATAATTTAACCACAAAAGTGAAGCTCTGGTATAGTGTCCGAACTTTCTTTTAACATGTTTATTTTCTTGGCCTTCAAATAGCAAATGATTTGAATAGCATGTAAATTGATTCTAACTTAGAAGCACTAGGTCAGTGATTGTAGAGACAAAATTCTATAATTTGGCCAGTATGAATTATGAAAAATAGAATTTAATGCATGATTGTATTGTGTTCATGTCATTGCCTTAAATACACTGCTTGTTTTTCATGGTACTGAAAATAACTCAGCTTTGATTCAGATTCTAAACCTGTTGGCTATTAATTATACTTTGGGAGATCTTTCTTCGGTAGTGACAGTTAGCAAATTTTAGTAATGGTTTATAGTCTATGAGGCATTTACATTGTATTGGAATCTGAGTGAATGAACTTCTTGTGATTCATTCAATTGGCAATAAGGGTTGGCAGGGGCTGTCCATCATATCCGATTGCCTACATATCTGTACATCATGGATCATGCTTGATTGCCTCATTGTTTTTACTTTGGCAGCATAAAGGCATAACCCAACTGTCAGTTCCTAAGTTACATCTTCCATAGTATATGTGTTAACTTTTTGAAATTTAGAATGAATTGCGGAAAAATAATTTTGGAAATTTTAAAATAATAAGCAGTTGATCTTCTCGCTTAGATCTCAATCTAGCTGTGGTGGAGAATTGGAAAGGTTCACCTGGTTTCTTCAGTTTCTCAGCAATTTCCACATTGTTAGTTTCTTGGGGGAGCAGTGGGAAGATGTGAGGTGGAGGAGAATCTGAGTCTTCAAGCAATCTCACCATCTGATGTGGTTCCCAGTGGCAGCTCGTCGTTGGATAAGTTGCTTTTGTGTCGTTTGTGCACAACCTCAGACATGCCATGCTAATACAACATGAATTGAAAATTCTTGTGCAAATCTTATAAGCTTATTCCATGAGAATACTGAATAGCCTCAGCACCTCTTTCATAAAATTGAAAATTTAAGTGCTATCCACTCTTAATTTTTTTGATTTGTTTTTGATTTAATTTGACAGTTTATTAGCACTGCATTATTCTCATGCAGTATATTATTGTGCTCGATGCCAGGAAGGTGTCATTAGAAACTGGCAGTTCATTCATATTAACTGGCAATGGGAAACAATGTCCATTGTCCTCACGTCAAGATCCTGCATCTCTTCACTGGAAACTTAGAAAATGATAATTAAGTCAAGGAAACAAAATTTTTCATTGCAGCCTTCCAAATCACCCTTTGCGTGTGCAATTTAGGCAGCCCACACATGCAATTCCTAGATCTACCATTTTCTTATAGTGGAGAGATTACAGCGCTTCCGTCGGCAATGGGCCGGATAGACAGCCTGAGTACTTGGTGAGAGTTAGCGAAAATGAACCTAAAGGATTGCTTGTGCTTCCAAAGCAAGCATTCGTATTCACAGTTTTGAGAAAATAAAGAAGCCAAAATAATTTCCAAAATATGAAAAGGAGTGTAAGCACACCAAAAACAGGAATTGGCACTCCATAATTTTCACCTAGTAAGCTGTCACTGCAGTCCCTGGGGATTTGAACTGGTCATTGCAGTAACCCGTGGAGGAGACTGAAAAGGAATTGGCCCTGCTCAAAGAGTGAGCAGTTTCTCTTCCACTCAGGCAACTTCAGAACTGGCAGTCTAATTGGGAAGGGTGCCCTTCCCAGATTCCTAAAGTTGAAAGGTCTAGGTGTTCAGGAGCCAAAATGCAGTTGTGTTCTGGTGTTCATCCATATGTCTTTCTGGGGTATCCGCAACCCGAGGACCTTAAAATCTCCTGATGCCAGCAACCCTTGCATGATGGAACCATGGCACACAAAATCCAATTATTAAAAGAGATTTGAAGTAATAGAAGTTCTGTGTGGAGTGCTGAGAACACCAGGGCACAAACCAGTTGTTAGTTGAGAACATAGGCTTCCGTGGCCGGAGTCAGTAGCTACTTGGCTGTCTGGGAGATGCCATATCCTAGGCATTGGATTTTTTAACTTTACTCAGGAAGGTAGCAGAATGTGAGCCAATACATTGGCACCTGTACCTAGGATGCGGTGTCTCCCAGGCAAGTAGCTACAGTTGTTAGTTGATTTATTGCCTTTAAATTAATTAAATAATTTATTTCGGAAACCACTCACGTGGCAAATATGTGTTAATAGTGAAATATTTAGAGTATATCTAAAAAAATTCAATAAAAATTATTGAAATGTACTTTTGATTTTAAACAAATTAAAATTCCTTCAAAAACTTTAGTCTGATGATAGATAGTTTTCTTTTTGTTTTCCAAAGTTGGTAAACTTAGTGGTTAATTGGTTTCTGAAATGAAATATTCAATTTTATGCAATGAATTTTGTTTTGTAAAGTAAGACTAATAGTAACAAACTTCAATTTCTAGTTCTGCGAAAAGATGTTTTCTGTTAACAAATGAAAATAGAAAACAAATTCCTGAAAATAATTTATATTAAAATGATAACTAATAATATGTAATAAAATATATTAAAATAAGAATTTGACTTCCATGAAGCATGATTCTTCATTTTGAAAATGTTTTTACTTTGCTTTTTTGTTGTTGTAGATTCCCAATAATCTGAGAAAAAGTGAGTCAGCAAGAGATAAATTGCAGAAGGACAAGTAAGTGGCACATACAGCATTTACAATAGCATTAATAGATTAATTCTAGTGCGATATAATACTTCTCCAAACTTGTCAGATTCTTTGTTGCTTGTTCTCTCTCCCCACCGTCCCTCTCCCCATGTTAAATATTTATTCTTAACATGTTAAAATATTTTCAAGTCGCAAATAAATTCTGCATTATCAAAGACGCAGTGTTAACTATGTATTGAAACCCAGAGGACAGTAGATTATCGGAATTGATTTTTGGAGAGAAAAAAGATGAAACAAAATATGTCAAGTTTTGAAAATTTATGTAACTTGCCATCAGAAAATAAGTTAATTGTTTGAAGCAGTTCACTTATTTTTATACATTTCAAATAAAGTATGGTATGTATAAGGGTGGTCTGAAAAATTCATGGTGTAACTCATAGTTTGCAGAACTACTTACACAATGCAGAAAATGGAGTACCAAGCTGTGATAAAGTTCTTCATAAAAAAAAAAAGGCTTGATACTTCATTCAGAGTTAAAAAATAATTTGGTGACTTCAATTTCCACTGCGAAGAAATGGGTGCTGGAGTTATAATGTTTTGGCCACAGTTATCAAAACATGGTAACAATATTTTCGATTGCCAAACAAACTCTCTACTTATCTCTACAAATTCTCAACAGGAAGGTTAAATGATGATTGGGAAATATTATTCGTATCATCTTATGAAAGTGAACAAAAAACTTTGTTAAGAGATTCAGCTTGCAGAAGAAAAGTCATTTTCCATTGGGACAACGCCCCTGCTCACTAAAGTGTCTTGGGGATGTGAAAATTGAGGAATTTGCATTACAAAGTGCTAGACCATCCTCCGTTTTTCCCTGATGATTCCTTAAACCTTCATCCTTTCCCCAAAACCATGGACAGTGTTTTCCCTCTGATCTAGATGTCATTACAGCTGTAGATGGGAACTTGCAGCATTTCCAAAGGAATGCCACAGAGCACAGCTGGAGAAATGCATTAGTGCTCTTGAAGAAAAGAAAAAAATAATCATTTTTGAAAACAAATTTGTATTTTTAATCTTAGGCTGAGAACTTTTCAGACTACCTTCATAGGTGTATTGTTCATTTGTAATTTTAATTCCTACATGTGTAGTAGAACCATTTTAAATAGTAATTTAATTTGTGGTTTCTGTCTTATGGAAATTGTGCATTATTTGCGGTTTTTCTTACCTGACATTGATGAAATGTAATTACAGGAATTACAGTAACTTCTGTCTAGGCTATTTTTTTCTATCTTTTCCTAGGCCGTCTTGTACAGCATTAAACTTTTTTGAGAAATCTTACTTCCAATGTTTGGATAGTGCTTTTGTTAAACAGGATTCGCTACCATACAGGATATGGATGAACATTTTTATTTGGTTTTCATCCTGTAATTCATGGTATATTCATTTTTAAGAGAAAAGTGCATTAAATAATTGATACATCTTTTTAAAGGAGGATGTTTTTATGTTTGTACTGAGTTAAAATTGAAAAAATGAAAAGAAGGTGAAACATGAAACTTTATTGCAGGATTGTACTAATAAATGGAGTAGTAAAATATTTGCACTTTTGGTATGTTTTTTAATTACCCTTCATTCATTGTTTTTATTTGAGATGTGTATTAATTTACAGGTTATCACCTCCTGCCACATCTCAACAGATTTCCCCTGCTCTTTGTGGTCGACCTATGGCTTGGTAAGAAAGTAATATGTTTCTTTTACATAAACTGATGTCTTTCTGTGTGATGTAATTTATGAGATTTGAGATTTTTTTAATGATGTAAAGTTGTATGATTAGTAAATTGTTTATTGAAACTTATCTAGTGTTAAAATTTGATGGGGAATACTTTTCAATAAGTGACATAATGATTTCATTTTCTGCTATGTGTTTCAAAAAATTAAAATATTCCTAAATATCAAAAAATATATTGTGATGGTGTCTCATGTAGTCTTCAGTTTACCACGTTATGATCATCAGGTGTGGTTCGTTTCCCCCACTTTCTCTTTTTACTTATTATGCCAATTTCGAGGGCTGTTCAGCCGCTCTGCTTGGCTCACACACACACTAATACCATTTATCCCTTTTATTTACTAAGATCATGCTAAGTATTGAAATTTTGGAATTTCTTAGGTGGAAATGATAAACATTATTACGATAGATAACTTAGGCTGTTTACTTATCTAAATTTGAAATTTTGATACATGTTTTGGTGGGCCGAAACTCTCTTATCGAAATTATCATCTACTACTAGCCAAATATTTATTATATTATTATTATTATTATATTAATATATAAATTAATTATATATAATTAAATAATAATAATAATAATTAATTTATTGAGTCACAAATATTACAATTACAATTCATGTATGGACGAGTCATATGATGTCTTAGATGGAGAGTAGCGAAGGGCAAACAAGGGCCATCTCAGCATTTTGCTCAAGGGGACCAGGGAAACTGAACAAAACCTGATGACGAATGGGGTCCATTGGGTCTAGGAAAATTATACTACAATACTTTGTTACCACGATAGATTAGCGATATTAATAGCAGTAGATAATATTTTTAGTAGCCGTATAATTTAATCATTTCAAGATGTTAATTTTAATGCTACTACTTATTAATAATAATATAATAATAATAATCAATAATAATAATAATAATAATATAATAATAATTACATTATATAATATTATTAGAACTCAATTACATATCAATTTTTTTTAGCTGACTACACATAACATAACAATATTGGTACATTCTATATTTAAAACTTGAAATGGTGAGGAGGCAAGTTTTGACTTTTTTTTCCCTTCTTCTTCTTCTCCTTCTCCTTCTTCTCCTCCTTCTCCTTCGTCTTCTTCTTCTCCTTCCTCTTCTTCTTCTTCTTCTTCTTCTTCTCCTTCTTCTTCTTCTTCTCCTTCTTCTTCTTCCCCTTCTTCTTGTCCTTCTTCTTCTTGTCCTTCTTCTTCTTGTCCTTCTTCTTCTTTTCCTTCTTCTCCTTCTTCTTCTCCTCCTTCTTCTCCTCCTCCTTCTTCTCCTCCCCCTTCTTCTCCTCCTTCTTCTTCTCCTCCCCCTTCTTCTCCTCCTTCTTCTTCTTCTCCTCCTTCTTCTTCTTCTCCTCCTTCTTCTTCTTCTCCTCCTTCTTCTTCTTCTTCTCCTCCTTCTCCTCCTTCTTCTCCTTCTTCTTCTTTTTTCAATTTGTACACGTAGTCCAGAGAGAAACAGATTTTTTTTGGTCAGGTTTTACATTTATGTCCAACTGGTCTTCTTTCTTCTAATTTAGTTATGTTATGATAAATGGTCACAAACTATAATATCTGTTGTTGCTTCACTCGACACTACAGGTTCCCGGGACGGCTGCCCTTACGGCTTGTCGAAAGTGTCGGCAAAACGGACGCTCGTCTTAGTAGTGCCGCTGCGTGAGAAACGATCTGCACCCCCCTCTGTGCGGCCGATCATGAAGGCGCCCAGGCCCCGCTTCTCATGTGTGCCGTTCTATTCGACCGCGTTTTCGGCCTTTCAACAATTGCGCGTGACGACCACTATTTTTACGGTGACTGATTCAAGTTACCGCCAGGCGCTCACAACGGTGCGAGAGTAATAAGTCCTGCCTTAGATTAGCTTCAACTCGTGACACTGTGAACTTAACATTTTCTTGGTTTCTCTCCTGTCTCTTATGACCGTTCTCGTTAACGTTCAAATCTCATATGCTCGCGACCACTCGTTAACCTCCGAATCTCCTCGTCCTTTTGCGGCCACTCTCCTTAATGTTTCAATCTCTTTTCCCTCCCCCCATTAGCTTACGCCTTCCTCATAGACCCACTAAGACTCCGCCCTCTCTCCTCCTGCTCCAGTAGTATGTTCATTTTCATTTTCTTATTTTTTTACCAGATTTTGGATTGGGCCGCAGGAAGTTCGGTCTCAGTACTGCGCACTACACTCCCGTTGTCCTCGAGCGCGTATCCGATTGCTTCGCTGCCACTATCGTGAATCCCGAAGTATTGACGACACCCGATCGAGTTCGCGCAATGGCCTCGTTACGGCTGTCCAAGGTATTACTGCAAATGACGATCATTGTGATCCGTCTGCCTTCTCTCGAGTCATAATTGGCATTTGAGGAGGTGCAGAACGCTCGCGCTTTGCACATGCGGAGTTCGGCATGCTAGCCAGCGATGCCGTAAATATGTCGGCACTCTGTCGCTTCCTCGCGATTTGACACGGCTACACAAAATGCTCCTCTGCGCGCCCGCCCCACTCTGACCTCATTTCTCTCCCTCGTCGGTTAGCTTTATAGTCAAGTTTTATATTAAATATCACAATATCCAAATACACCTCTGCCTGTTTGTAATTAATATATGATTGAGTCATGTGTCTTTTGGCTTAATTTTTTTTGTATGTGCATGCTATTTAAAAACAAAAGTTAGACTAATGACTATATCTCTTCTGTGAATCACCATGAAACCATTCAGTTTTGTATGTAACTTGTATGTGTTTGTGATCATCTGAAGCAGCTGCTTATAAATTTGACTTTTCAGATTTCATTGTATTTCTATGTAGTTCATTTCCTTTGTATATTTTCTTTTATAAAGAATCACTAATGGCAGTAGCTTATAACCTAAGGAGTGGTCAACACGTGATGTGGGCATAGGGTCTTTCTCTTTTCATCCCTGTTCTCTTCTTTGGCAAATTGAGGATCCTTAGACCATGTGCAACAAGGCTTTTTTAGTTAAATCTTAATTTAAATTAATAAACATGGCTGCTAAGTCATTGATGGTTTTTGGTCAATGTATTACAAGTGCCAATGTTTTAATTTTGAACTTCACATCACTACTGGCATCTGTTTGTATAGTTGTAGCCACTGATAAACTAATTTACAATTCTTGATGACTTGCATTCTTTTACATGTCGGCACCTCAGTTATTTTCTTGCATTTTGGGGGTTTATAGTTTATCTCGGCTACATTTAATTTACATTTTCTGTAGGATAAAAACCTAATCTGAAGGAAAGTGTAAGAAGAAAAAACATCCTACTCAAAACAGCTATGTACAGCAATATTTTCAAATTATATAGTTTATTGCTTTGAAATAGTGATGCTAAAAATTGGACTGTACATAAATTTAAACACCATTTCTCTGTAGGTAAAAATTCTACCTTGCAGAACATTGCTGATCGGAACGCAAAACTGAGATAGGCTTTGGTTTTCTCCAATGAAGTCAGGTACTGTCTTGCATGCTGTGCTGGTTGTATTAAACCTAGATTTTATTGTTTCATTTCAGCTCTACTCCTGATGGGGTTCTTCCTTTGGTATCACCTGCAGTTGGGCTGCAGGTTTCCCACATTGCCAAGGATACCCCTGTAGATCCTGCACGCAAACGTTCAAAGTCTGCTGGTACCACAGCTTCAGCAGGACCTGAAACAGAATCTCACCTCACAACCACCCCAGCTAGAAAACCTACTCGTCATGTTAGGTTAGTGATGTATTAATGTAGTGTTTTGAAACATTTCTAATATCAAGACTTCTGAAAATGGATCTTTTCACATGGCAGTATTGCTAGACATTTTTTATTTGAATTCCCAATGCTATCAACATTAATTCCAAAAGCTCCAAAAGGAATCTTGACAACCTCACCTTGAAATTCTTTCTTTTGACACCTCGTTTATTAAGATTAGTTGGATGTAAGTAGTGCTGCTAAACGAACCTAAAACACTGAAGAAATAAAGTGGTGGTCAAATATGTATAAATATTCGTAAATGCCCATTCGTGAAGAATATTAAAATTATACTTTTCTCAAAATGTTATAATCAAAGACTGAAGTATGAATTTTTAATTTCAATAAATTTATTATATAAAGAAGTTTACTCTAAAACAGACAAAAGAGAGGTAACATTTTGGGTTGCAAGTACTTGTTGTGTTTTTTATTTTAAAAAATTGATTTGCTGATTACTGATGTACTAATTTCTTACATTGGTTATCAGTAAGGATGTATACTAATAACCTTTTTTTGTAAAAAAAATTCTCCAGGTCGAAGAGTGGTCTTGCAAATAGCGAACTTACCAGGAACAGTTTCGGAAAAAACAAGACGCAGTCCCCTGACCCCATTTCTCCAGGACAGATGCCTGTATGCACTTCTACACCATTGAAATCGTTAACTAAAAACTCTCCATCCCTCAATCGAGCAAAGAAGCCATCGCCAGTAAGAAAGGTGAGAGAAACGAAATTATCAGAAATATTAAACTTGTGTTAAGTGTATCATGTTTTTTATATCCTCTTCATCAGGTTCTTCTTGCCTTGTAATTCCACTTCAACTGGAGAACACAATTATTTCCTCAAAGTAGTAGTTTATTTCTCGAATTTCCATTTAGGCCACTTACGATTCATTTGATTTATCCGAGGACCTGTACTCAGCCTTTGCCTTCTGAAACTCAAAACAACAATGTCAGGTTTCTAGAAGCTTTTGTGATTTCTCTTGCCTTCTATTTCATTTTGTGTACATCGTTTTACCTTCATTCAACTACCATGCAATTAAAAAGAAAAATATACCGTTTACTGCATTGTTTGTCCTTGAATTGTAATAAAACTTGCTCTGTCTGCATACTTTGGTTCATATTTCATATTGAGTTGTTTTGTTATATTTTCCATGCAATTCGTGCAGTTTGGTTTGGAGAATTGCAAGAGATGGCTGAAATATTTGTAGTATAACTGTTGAAAGTTTATTTCATGGTGAGGAAAGGGGATCTTTTTTTGAAACATTCATTATTCAGTTCTAGTTTCTTATATGTACTTCAAGTGAGTATGTTATTAACTTAAAACATAATTTCTTTTCCTATCTTCATTTTCCTCCTTCAACCCCAATTTTCAAGGAAAAGACCTTCCCTCCAGCTATTTGACTTCTTCCCCAGGTGCCCCTTCCAAGTCACCTTTTAAAAATCTTACATACTTGGTGATAAAATAGTACTAGACAAAAAAGAAAGCAGAATTGAATTGCAGCATTGAAGAGTACATTAAAGTTAATAATTAAAATCAAAAAGAAGATTCTATTCTTTCTTACCCAACACACCTCATGTTGGATACTCAAATTCACATGAGATTTCACCAGCTGTCACTAAATGACTTCTTGGTTGTCCGGGTGACACCGCGACATTGGCAGAGAGGCCGACATTTCGCCTGTCATATCGCAGGCTTCTTCAGGGTAGTGACATGGTAATGCTCTGCCTCGAAGCATTACTGTGTCACTACTCTGAAGAAGACTGCGATATGACAGGCGGAACGTTGGCCTCTCTGCCAACGACACAGCATCATGTGGACAACCAAGAAGTTATGAACTCGAGCGGCGGATGCCTACGTGTTCAATGTCACTAAATTGCCAAGTGCTTTGGAATATTAGAAATATGTTTGAGTGACGTTTTCCTTGAGGGCCCTATATGATGTTTGTGCAGCCTGCAGCAGACAAAGCTGCAGGTCAGGATGCTTCTTTACATATTACATATTATGTGTGTATAAGGGTTATCTAATGACTATGGACTAGTATCAGATTTTGTTGTATGTTCGTTCATTGAAGAAAGATTGTAAAGGTCATATTAACTGACGCCTTTTTAGTTTGATAAAGTCCACAGTGACATATGGTCTTAATAGTACCACCAAAGTCTGATGTAAATCAATGTTGTTTTCAAGAAAGCTGAAAAAGAATCTTGCCCTATGTTATGCGTACTATCTTCACACAGTTTTAAGCACTTTATTAGATTAATTATTGTGATATATTTTTTCAATTGCCTTTTTCACATTGCCTTTTCCATGTTTGCAATCATCGATTTACTAAGCCCTATACTTCGTAGCCTGAAGTGTGTTGGTGATTCGCCCAAAGGCCTTCACTGTCATTTCTGGGTATTGGGATACAAAGTTCCTTTTAGTCAACTTACGAATTTGCAGTGGAAAATGTGCAAAACATAGATTTTTGGTTATTCTTTTGTATTTTCTGTGTACCCATCATTAATCAATCATTTTGCCTAAATCCCCGCCATTGTCAACACTACCACTGATGTTATAGCTTCTGTACAGCCTACATTTGTTACTTCATTTTTGTACAAGTACTCGATAAATGAAAGTTGTCATTGACGTGCTGCTAGTTCCACCAAGTTGTGTATTTTGGTTTGCTGCTTGACTAGCATTGAGTCAACAAATGTTCTTGTAATTTATTTCAAGAATTGATATTTCAGGCATACCTGCCAGTAAATGTATTGTCTTTTTGATTTACTTGTTCTCTATTCAGAGTTTTACATTTTCACATTTCTTTTAACGTTTCTAGTTGCTTCAAAAAGACAATACTCACATGGAGAAAGAAAACCGTCAACCTCGATTGATGGAACAGAAGCAACGTCTTTCTTGGAGATCAAGATCATCTACAAGAAGAACAGAAGTTAATTAGTTCAAGGGATTGAAAGATCTGTATTGTCCTTATGTAATTAGTTCATTCCACTATTTTATTTATTTTTACTTATGCTCTCTGAATAATTTTTCTTGCACAGTTATATAACTTATGGCTTTTGACCTTTTACTGTACAAATAGTTTTGAAATTTTTAAATATTGAATTGACTTCAAAACGTTCTCTACATGATTGATCTCAAGAAAACCATTATTTCAATTAAAGAACATTTCAATAAGAATGTGCTTCATTGAATCTATTTTTATCTTAGTATACACAAGACAAATGACTTACATTTTTGTTCCTTTGAACATATTTTAGACTAATGGAGTTCATTGTTACATCTCGGTTATTGATTTATTACTGTTGTTTCTTGCTTGCTTTTGTACAAGGGTCTTAGGATTAAGTTTTTAATTGCATTTAATGACTATTTGACCTCACAATTTCTAAAAAGAAATCTTTTTACTTACAGCATACAGTACTTTCTTGATGTGGAAGGTAGAGGGAATGGTATGTGTAGAACATTGAACATTATGTTGCTGGTAAAAATATTTTGAAATATGTTTTACATATACCACAAATAAAAGTACTCGGGCTTAATAATAGGTTTGATAGGTGTTTTAAAACATCACAAGTTGAATTTTAAAGTGCAGCTCATTAACAGATGTAAGTGATGATGAGAAATGTGTGTACACGTCTAGTCAAACAGTGATGCATACTGAAGAATTTGAGATAATAATCTTGGAAGATGCACTTGCACTATGCACTTAATGTGGTGACTGGGGGACAAAATTATATTGGTTTTTAACTTAATGTAAATACATACTTTTACACAAAAAAGTTGGTTTTATTTCCCTATGTGACCCTAAGTTATTGTTCTCTCCAAGAATTAACTACGTGAAGTTGTGCATGATTAATAAAATGTTTTTTATAAAATTTCTCTAATATTATAATAAAGCATTGTTTGAAATAATTTTTTAATGTCATAAAAAATGTCTTGTTCTCAAATCAAATAATTTTTTAAAAAATCTGTTTTTAAAGCATTTGTATTTGAAACTAGCAGATTTACTCGCTGTCTTCCTGCTATGTCAGCATTGCTGTAATGTGATTGTTCTCGTGCCACAATCGCTTCCTCGCTGCCATCTCCTAGCTCAGCAATAGGTTCGTCCCATCCCCATCCCCATCCTTTGCTGTTCGCCCCTGTTCTGCTCAATCCCACTTTGTGACACAGCAACACCCAACAACAATGAAGCCCGGGTGGATTGGGAATTGCATTTAATATGAAATCAATATTTTATTTATTTTTGTTTTAAAAATCTTCAAATTATTAATGAACAAATTGTTTTTAAAGCATTTTTTATGAAACTATCTTGTCCTGTGATGACAAGGAAAAAGGAAAGCACTCATTTTGTAAATGCAAAATTATTCATATCTTAACAGGTAGTCATCCTGCAGGATGCACCTGTGGGAATGGTGATGTTTCCTAGGTTTTTCTTGATATGCCCAAAAGGAAAGAAATGAAATGGTTGCTATGCATGCTAAAGGCCTCCAAAAAGTGAGCTATAGATTGTGTGTTCTTGGAACAATTAGCAATAACTCAATACAGCAATTGCTCTCATGTAATGCTTTCTAGTCCAAAATTTTAACATATTTTCTGGTTGAATCTCACGAGAAATACCAGTTTTTCAACTTATATCCTTATATAACTTATTAAGTTCTGATACGACAATAAATGTACCTACATGGACCACAATTAAGATGTAATTTGATCCGATCACAATAATAAATTGTTAAGAAAACCGCTCCTGGCTAGTTTTGAAATTGGAATGAAAGTCTTAGAATATCGTGACCGTCAGTTCTTACCATTACAAGAAATGCGAACACTGACAATAAATAACACACGTATATAGTGTACTAAAAGTAACATTATTATTCAGACACTACTTGGTGCAGGATTCATAGGATTTGGTTTCCTTTACTATTAATACAAATGATAGAGATGGGAAGTCCATGCCGCACGTGGGAGATCTCCATTCAAACCAATGCAATTCTACGATCCGCCTCATTGGTGTGTGAAGGAGTTCTTAGGGCTCCTTCACACGTAGGCACTGCAGAGCGCTTCCGAACATCGCGGCTGGTAGCAAAGCATTGGTTTGGTGCGGTTCCTTTGTTCGTCGACGCCAAAGGGTCGGCGAAAACTTCCCTCGCCGAACCCTCCCCCTCCCCCTTCAACGGCGGGAGGCGGTAGCGGTGTGGGTAGGGCTCTGCCTCTTGTCGGAAGGGGCCCTTAGGGCACCTTTCCACGTCGCCACGGCAGCGCGCTGCCGTCACGCAGCAGAGCCCTTCCGATGCAGCCACGGCCGCACCGCCGCCCGCCGTGGAAGGGGGTGGGGTCTGTGGGGAAGGTTTCGCCGACCCTCTGGCGACGACGAACAAACGCGGCACAGTGGGAAGGCTACCTTTGAAAGCTGTGCTCTGCTAGCGGTGGCGCGTACGCTTCTCCGCTTCGCGTAGCGAGAGTTGTCCGCTGGTTGGCGCAGCAGCGCACACCCGCCGCACGTGGGAAGGTCTCCATTGAAACCAACGCTCTGCTACGAGCTGCGGTGCTCGGAAGCGCGCAGCGGTGGCCACGTGAGAAGGGGCCCTTAGACCAGCCCCCTCCGCGCGCGCATCGCGGTCGCTACACTACCGCGGCGGGGGCGGGGGCGGTGTTCTATATATTTTTAAGAACAACCGTCCCCCGCTATGAGGCAGATTCAGTTTCGAAATTTCTCTTCAGTCGTGTGAGAGATTTCGCACAGGTTCACGCAGACATTCGCGGCAATGCGAACGCTAACTTGTGGTACGCAGGCAGTCGGCACTTGTGCCTTGCCACTCAGTTATCAACGGCATTTACTTCATTACATAGAGCTACAAGTTGCCCATCATCGTAAGCCATACTGGAACATTTCTTTTTAATGTCATTACTCGCTAATTTGGGAACGATTATCGACAGCGATGCGAGGCTGAGTATTAGACCATGGCGGCAACTATGCCGGGTTATTGTGTCCGGGGACTTAAACACATTAACTCAGTTGGAGCTATTGTGTGTCACTGGTAATCGCGACGTAAGCTCACTGGTGGAGCTGTAAGTGTATCCACGCAGCTGGACAGCAAATGTACGGCTGCAACCATGCGGGGCCTTCCGAAACATTCGCATGCCAGGAACCTGGTTGGTCTCCGAGGGTGCCGAGCTTTGGAAGGCATTCCAACACCATACTCATTAATTATATAAACATTTAGTGCCATTCATTAAGAGTAAACGTTTTTATTATAAACTTTAGCTTTGATGTTATTTATGCATTACTAATTTTAAGTTTTAGAATTATGGTTTTATTTATAATTCACCGCCCGGGCCCATCATTCATTTTGTAAATAGTAGAATAAATTGTATTGTTTGGTTTGTCATGTCTTTATTAAATTGTAATAATGTTTTATTAATTAATTTCATGATTCACAACCAATCTCTTTATCTTTCCTTTATTAAATTAATATTAAACCAGTTTGCTGGTTTCATTTATCGTCTGGCCGATCCAGTCACATCTTCGTATGAGGCCCTCGCAGCCACTTCTTTTAGCAGCCCTCTGGCTACGTCGTCGAACTTCCGGAGGCCGATGTGTATGTGTACTGTGGGCGTGTAACCAGCAGTCGAGTCCTCACCTTCCAAGTCGCCGTGCGAGAAGTGAGAATCGCATCTGCACGTGCTCACACGTCACATGCACGTTGCATATGCGCGCGGCGATTCTCTCCCAAATGCTGTCTGTCGTCGATGGTATTAGAAATGATATCTGCGTGAAGTTTGGTCTTAACAAGAGTGTAAAAATCAATTTAAAGTGAGGCAATATCACGTCAGAGAGCATTGCAATTGACATGCCAACTGTGATTCAAGATCTTGAGCCAGCTACAACTTACAAGTATCAGGGCATTGAAGACTGTGATACCATGTCGAACGACACAATGAAAGAGAGAATTCTTACGGAATAGTACATAAGAGTGACGTTTGTCCTGGAGCTCTGTCCGCTCTGAACTCCAGGAATTAAATTTATGCAATTGGTAGTTTGGCGGTGCCTGTAGCTTATTACAGTTCCAGACTAATGGATTGGACTGAACAAGATATCCGAATCATGGACCGAAAACCAGAAATTTGCTTGCAATGCATCATGTAATGCCCACCCTTGAGCTTCGTACATAGACCATAGGTATCACGTAAGGAAGAAAGAAGAGGCCTCTGACAAATTGAAGCCTCCTGGCACACTACAATAGTCGGTAGGGGAAAGTATGTAGTCAGTCATGAAGATGGCTCACTGATGAGGCAGGTCATTAAATCTGATTGAAGAAAGATAAACAGAGGCATTGTAAGTGTAGTAAGAAGCATTGCGAAAAGGACTATGCAAGACACTGAACTTATGAAATGTGGCCCACAAAAAAAGCTAAAGAAATCGTGGAGAGACAAACCACTCCATGGATAATATCTAAAAAGAATGGAAAAGGTGCAGATCAATAAAGACCAATCATTTTTGTGTTTTAAAAGGGAAGAACGAAACCAGAATCGGAACCAGTTGTCATAGCTGCCCAATATCGGGCGTTGAGAACTTATGATAAAGCGTTTCTCAGAGTTTTCCAAGATGACAATTGCCGCACTTTCGAGAAACAATGAGAACCCATTGATCATTTCGTCTCAGATCTTCCGATTCTAAAGACCGAAGACTTGAAAAGACACGATAGGGTGTGTAGTTACCCTTACCTCCAGTGGCAGAAATGTACCGCCCTCGTAGTTCCAAACACATGCCCCAAGTGATACGAACATTTACCAAAACTGGTGACAATGCTGGAGGACCAAAAGATTGAAACAGATCGCACGATAGCAGCAAACAAACAGGATATTGTTATCCGGGATTTGGAAAAAAGATGTATCTACTTGTAGATGTTGCTGTGCCTTGCGATCAAAACGTCGTAACCAAGGAGGTAGAGAAACATCTTAAATACAAGAGTTTGGAAATTGAGATCAGTCCAATATTGGGCGTAAAAGCACGGGTCGTTCCAATACTTATATAGGAATAATAATAATAATAATAATAATAATAATAATAATAATAATAATAAAAATCGTCTGCCCTAGGAAGGCTGCAGTCTGCGTCTGAGTCCTGCAAGGCATGGTCGTATTTGTGATGCCTTCCAGCTCACCATCAATCAACTACTCATAATTCACAATTAAGGCGTGGACCTTGTCTTCCGTCGGATACAGCTGGCAAAGCCTGATCCCTAAAGGGTAAACACGTCAATCGTGTAGCGTGGTGGGAAATGGCGGGATAAGGAAATACCAAATAACTGTAATTTTCCGTCGCGGGGCAACGCGCCCTGAGGAGGTGCGCGGAGCGATGGCGGCGACGCCTTCGCCCTCGCCCTCGCGCCGGACCGCCGCCGCGTGGACGAGTGCCGCGGAGGAGGGCGCGCGCGTGGGGGGGGCTGTCGGAGGCGGCGCTGTGCGCCCGGCCGCAGCCGCAGCGGCGGCGGCGCCGGCGCCGGCGCTCGCTGGGCGACGCCGCCCCGCCTCGCGCGCCGCTCGCCTCCCGCCCTCGCGTACGAGCCCTCGCGCGGGCCCCCGCGCCGCCGACGCGCAGACGCCTGCTCGCGGCCGCAGCCACCCCGGACCGCGCCCGGTCAGTCAGCGTCTCACCCATGCCAAGGGCGCTCAAGGCCCGTAAGCGTGGGGCGTGTTTGCTTTCCTCGGACGATGACGGAAGATTCTGGACCCCCCGCTGGAAAGCGGATTGAGTAATTGGGCATTCCGCGCGTGTTACCTGCTGAGCCCATTACTTCCGTAAGTGTCAGGCCGGAAACGTTAGAAATATATGAGAATGTTCGCCCTCACACTGTACGGAAGCCACTACCAATCGCACTCAGCCGCAAAGAGAAGATTTTG